AAAAAATCCTACTAATTTACATGGGTTAGGTATTTTGACTGCATAACATTATCATGAACAACATGAACAAGGAATGCTGTTTCCCAAAAACTTTTATTGTTTATGCATCAGTTTTCTTATCAAAAATAATTGTGTGTGTGATGTCTTCTTTACGTATATGTGTTTTTAGGGCTGTATCAATATATCGAATAATCAATACGTATCAATATTTAAGAATATATGGTATCGAAAAAAGAACTTCCAATATGTATCGGACAGGCAGATTTTCTTTTAATTCTGTGAAAAAGTTGGGAATTTCAATCACCAATATTATATATGTTATATTTTTTCACTGTTTTGAATTAAAATTGATCGATAATGATTTAATCATTAAGGAGATAGCACATCTTAGATAAATATATTACAAAATACATAGACAACTTTATTTAACATGTTATTTTTTTCACATTCATTAAAAGTTTGAATTTGAAGTGTAATTTGTTATTACAGTGAGACTTTTTTTATAGACGTGTTAAAGAATCCAATATATCGGATATTGCATAATGAAATATTGCATCGTATCAATTTTTTTTGCTCAATACACAGCCCTAGTGTTTTTCTTAAATCATGGACATAGACCCCCCCCCCCCTCCACCCCAACAAAATAAATAAATAAAATAAAAACAAGCAGTTTCATTGCTGCTATGCACAACATTTGAAAACATACACTGGATGTCATAGAATTTCTAATTTTTCTCAATGATAATTATGACTACATACTTGATTTGTTTATGATCCTTCTTTCAGTAATGAACTGCTGCTGCAACAGGTGTCATGACCGGATAGATTACACTGAAACCAAAGGCACATTAGTTTATTTATCAAAACAATAAATTTCTCATTCATAATTTACTGTTATTTAGAAGTGTCTAATCTAGCATTTCAATAGGCTATAATAACTTTGACAAAGTTATTGATTAAATCTTTTATTTCCATTTTTTATGCAAACAATACATGGTATACATAAAGATTTATCATACATTTAAATAAATATTTGCTTATGTACCTTGATACATCCTTAATAGTGAGGGACTGCAACATCTTGTTTTTTATCCAGCCAAGTAGTTTTTCTGTTTCATGACTATACTCGAAGTTGACATCGAGAACATGGGTTTGCTATGTTTAAGAGATCCACATGCCCAAAGTCTGATAACACACCCACAATCATTTCAGTGTGGAGTGTCTTGATTGACATTTCTTCAAATAGTGGCACCGTGTTTCCATTCAGAAGGTCAATTGCACATGAAGAGCTTGCTTTAATTGACTAGCAGGAATAGTATTCATCAGAAGACAATGTACTATAGTTTGATTGAATGGGGAATTAAGAAATGGAGAAATTGACAATGATATATTACATGTACCTGTGTATTATACTGTGATACGGACAAATAATTATTCTTGTTCAAGCACTTTATGAAGAATTATGAACAAACCGGGCCGGGATACATATCAGTATAGAGACGCATCTCTGTAATATTATTTGTTTTTCCATTAAATGAGTGGATGTTCAACCGAATAGAATTGATTGGTCATTTACATTTGAATCTCGGATGAAATAAACTAGAAAAGCTAAGGGTAAGGATACTTAGTTCAATTTTTATCATTTCATATAGATATTAAATACAATTTTAAATATTTAAGAAAAATGTCATTGTTACATTTCTTTTTATTTTAATTTCTACGTGTATGTTTTAATGGCAGCTTTATATCAAATCGGTGGTAAATTTATCTGTGTTCAGGAGAATACAGTATAACTTTTTGATTGATTGATTGTTGTAGTTCTGTATGTCTCTTGGAGGAAAATGTCACTTGTATGAGAGGTCACCTGATGCTGGTGAAGGCTTCAAATTTAGACCTTATTCGCACGATACTCAGGGCAATTGAGCAGTGAAGGTTCTCTGGCGTGCAAACACCTCAGACATGGTGCGCCCGTTCGAGGTCTCATTTGAAAGACCTGCAACTTAAACTTCAAAGTACCAAACATTTTGTGAAGGAACAGTTTCTACCTATATTCCTTTTATCATTTTTGCAACCAATGCACGGACCCGAGATCACAGAGAGACTTATCGAGCTACATGACAGTACTTTACACACACTGTATTCTCTCCCAGTTCCCTTTACCATATGAAATTAAGGCTCATAAATCATGACCGCATTTTGCTTTACTTAAGTTGCAGGTTTGCATATTTAAAATAATAATTAAATGATATTTATATTTTCAAGCAATATGTGCAAATCCAGGATTTTTTTTTTTCAAGGGGGGGGGGGGTTGTTCCACACCTTTACACAAGAATGTACATGTAGGCCTAAACATAGCTCTTTTTCAGTGTTCCCTTTCCTATAAGAAAATGTCTATTAATTCATAAGTTAACGGGAATCTTTAGTGATAGATGGAAACGAATCATATGATTGACACATCACTCGAATAATGATATACATTTAAAATATATCTTTATACTTGATCCAGAAGAATTACCAAATGAATGGTGAAACATGAATGAAACTTATCATGCTGTACAGGAAATGCAAATTGATTATAAATCTTTGCACTCTGTTGCTTTAAAATTATTGTGGTTAAAATGCATAAAAAACACCACATTTACAAAATGGGTTACAAATTTGACCAACATCTTTTTCTCAGTTTCCTACAAACTTTAATTTTTTTTAAAATAAATTTTAAGCAGACAATATCTTTCTTTGTCCAGAGAAGTTTCATCCTTGATGTGTGATCTTGTGATCTTAAAATCAACAGGAGTCATCTATTTTAGGGGATACCAACTACTTTCCTCAAATCCCCTGTTTTCATGTATAAAGAGTTAAAATTTAAAATGGGAAGAGGAACGTTTCTCAGATATGTTATGTGTTCAGGCTTATGAAGCCAGTGTCTACAGATAGGAGAGGAACGTTCCTCTTATGAAGCCAGTGTGACCAAATAGGAGAGGAACGTTCCTCTTACGAAGCCAGTGTCAACAGATAGGAGAGGAACGTTCCTCTTGTGAAGCCAGTGTCAACAAATAGGAGAGGAACGTTCCTCTATGAAACCTGTGCCAACAAATAGGAGAGGAACGTTCCTCTTATGAAGCCAGTGTCAATAGGAGAGGAACGTTCCTCTTATGAAGCCAGTGTCAATAGGAGAGGAACGTTCCTCTTATGAAGCCAGTGCCAATAGGAGAGGAACGTTCCTCTTATGAAGCCAGTGCCAACATTTAGGAGAGGAACGTTCCACAGATTCATTGGGTTCAGATTCATGTATATATTGTTAATATTTTAAAATGGGAAGAGGAACGTTCCTCAAATGTTCAGTGTATTTAGATTGATGTTTGTTGTATCATTGATTAGAATTGGTAGAGGAACGTTCCTCAAATATAATCTGTATTAGGGTTCATGGATATAGTATGTATTATCAATTGAAATTGATAGAGGAACGTTCCTCGTATAGCATTGTATATACAAACACACATATTTATTATAAGCAATCTGAAATAAAAGAGGAACGTTCCTCAAATACAGTTTTTGTGCATAGAACTAAGGAGACAACGAGGAAGATTTCTGATGAAGAGGAACGTTCCTCTCTTAAATTGCACTTAAAGTGGCGAATTTCTCGAAAAGCCCCCTTGTAGAGGCTCACTTATTGACTTTTAGACCATTTTCGACTTCAGATTTGAAAAATCAGGTTTAAAAAAGGAATTTTGATTTTCTCCTTTTGATTTGGATTGTGTTACATGTAACATGCTACCTGGATAATAAAAATATATAACGTATTAATAGATTTTAAAAATAAAAAGTAATGCAAATAGATGTGTAAATATTGCATGTTGTCTGGAGAATTAAAATATATAAATATAATATCATGTTTAAAAATCATATTAATAATATTTTTACACTGTGCATTCACACGCTTTGCTTGTACAATGTTTAGATTACAAACTGGCATGTTGACTGGTCGATGCGCTGATGGTCAACGCATTTTATCCCTTATCCTGATTGACAGACCTGTTCGGCATGTTGATTGGTCGACGCGCTGATGAGTTAATCGCTAATCCTGATTAACAGCTCTGTTACGCAACACCGAACGCGCGTTCGCTTTCTGGGACCGCTACTGAATTGGGGTTCGCTTTCAGCGTTCGCTCTGGGTTCGCTACGGGTGCGCTTCGGGTTCGCTCGGGGTCAGCACTAGCGGACCCCAAGCGAACCCGAAGCGAACCCAGAGAGCGAACCCGGGGTGCGCTCTGGGTTCGCTTTCTGTTAGGTTGTGTTTGGTCGGTACTGTATAAACGTAAGACTGATTTGGTTCATACTCAAAAGACTAATGGAAAAAGGTTCTCTAACGATCTTCTACCTGCACATACCTTTCCAGTATTGCAGCATCCTGCAGCCGTATTTCAATCTGACAATACACAGCCACATACGGCTCGCTTGACAATCACATTCTTGCAAAGCAACAGCAACCTGTTTCTTGTATGGTCATCTAAATCGCAAGATTTAAATCCAATTGAGCATGCATTGGACAAGATGGAATGGCATGATTTGCCAAAGACAATCGAATCCCCAGACTCTGCAACAGATGACCAAAGCTCTACATTTAGAGTGGGAAAGTATTCCTATACAGGTTTTTATTATACTCATTTGCTTCAATCAGAGGCCGTTTTAGGATATCATTTGTGTCTGTGGGGGGCATATAAGATATTGATCTTTATTGACCTTAAACTTTCTATGAGATTTTAATATTCTTGAGTAGTTATGACATTTAGATGGTAGACCTATTGTTAACCACATTTCTTTATTATCAATGCATCATTTTACTAAATAATCTTAATGTTCAATGTTTCACAAAAATTCTGCTATGCGTTTCTTTTTTTAAAGAGTATATTTATACCCCTCTCCTGTTACCGACATTCCTTGCAAATGCATTATGGTCTTGTTTTTTTTCGAATTTTTGCAATAGTGATACTTAGACAAACCTTATAAGCTAAAGCTTCTGTTGCACCAAATGTGATGACATGACTTTTAATATCAGATCCATTTGTCAGTGAGCTTTTAATCATAGAGTTATCCAGCCAGTAAATTCTAAAATTGTAAAAGAAAAATGCATTGATATTGCAATTGATATTAACTGAAAGGCATAGCTAATTTGATAAAGATTTGATTGTACCAAGTACTTTAAATAAATAATGAATAATTAAAAATATTCCAAATGTTAAAAAAATTACAGGAAAAACCTTTAAATTGAAATGAAAAATTGGAGTTCCAAGTAACGCACATGTCGCCTGCTATAGAATCTTAAGACATTAATAAAGCTTAAAAACAGATGATACATGAAATGCATATTTTTAGACTTATTCTGTTTTCAAGTTTTTCTGAAGTATTAAGATACTGTAAACTTCCCATGGTGTTCAAAATTCAACTTTTCTTCAGCCATCCTTATAACTCTATGCAGCTTCTTTTAATTACTTTATAATGATACTAAAATAATAAGCAATTAAATTGATTTATTTTGATTATAAAACCATAATTGGGAGGGGGAGGTATCTCTGTCCTTATTAGTGTTATTTCTTAACTTTTCATACAATCATTTATTCGATACAGAGAAAAAAAATCATCCACAGGTAGCTAGTAAATTGTCAAAAACTTCGATTTATTGGCAAATGTAACAGTCAAGTAGATATAAGACTTCTCAACCCACAAGGATAAAATGAATTATTGAAAATGTTAGGAATAGCTTTTTACCATGTAAACGTGTTTTTAAAAAACAACTATCCTTGATATTTGTGACTTTAAAGAGTTCGTCTTAATAACCCACAATTTTGCTTGAATTACGAACGAGAAAAGCACCATTAATGTTTCTTTTCATACATCTAATGCATTAAAATTTCAACTTGTGACGAAATGTACAGTAGTTTGAAAGTAAATTGACATGAGGTAATATCCATTTATCACATTTTAAGTCCTTTATACAGTGAATATATCTCATAGGATATCGTTTTCATATCCATGGTTTTGACATAATGGTGGATTCTTGCGTGAATTTGATCGGTCAAATTTTGGGACCTACACATATGAAACGTTGTAGAAGATGTGAAAGCCATGTGTAGAAAATCTTATAAAAAGAATCTCCAATGATGTGTTGTCAGAAATGATTTTTTATCCAAGTCATTGGATACTCAAGGCTTGCTGATGAAATCACACAACTTGTTAAATATAACATGTATAAAGAAATCACAAATCGTGGGATATCCTTTATGTATAATATACATGTATATATAAGAAAGCAAAGACATACCTCTTAAAAATCAAAACAAAAGTTGAATCAATGGTCTGGAGCAAATTTAAAAAGTAGGTCAGGATGAATTAAGGGGACAGTTACACTTGCATGTTTTCTAAAAACATATTCATCGTTATCTCTAATATTCAACCATTTCTCAAGGTCTAATGTTTTACTAACAGACGAACGGACAGACAGACATTTTGCAAAATGATCTCTTAGTGTGGCTTTGCTCTGCAGATGATACAAAAAATGGACCTGTGACTTGTGACATCATATCGAAGAGAAATCGGATTATTGAGATTTGCCTCGGACACAATGGTTTTGGGAGAATTCCTATTCCAGTTTCCTCTAATTATGGCCTTTCTAGATGTTCCCGATATCCAGTAGAGGTCTCTATAATCAAAAATCGAAAAATACACAACCTTTTGTGAATCCTGTCGATAATTTACAAGCCTATAGATTACTATTGCCAATTCGTTTAAATGTTTCTTGACACTTTTCTTAATTATGTCTTCATACTGTTATGCCAGCCCATAAAGAAAGGCTAAATCTTTTAATCTGCGTTTCTTTTTTCTTGATACACACGTGACTATTTTATATTAAAAGGTTTTGTTTTCTTTTTTATTTCTTTTTGATAAAACATAATTTCTAATGTGAAACTTCACCATATCATTCACTTTTAATCAACTTGTAAATTCTTTTCAAATAGTAAAGTTATCATACCCCTTCAATTCCAGAAAAAAAGGTTCTTATGTAAAACGCAAGGGGTATATGTACTTTATTCTAAATCGTTATGCCGCTTAATACCAAAATACAAAAGATTTTTATGCATAGCATAAGCTTTAAATATAAACCTGTTTTCCCTACTTAAAATCAAAGAATATACGTACTTTAAATAATAATAATAATATAACTGTGCCTTAAAACGTTAAAAACATGGATATAACCAACAGCAATCAAGCTCATACGTCCATGAAACAATTCAAAAACACAACTAGATAGAAATGTGATGTTTCAATGGAAATGCTATTTCATTCAAATATTGTTGGTACTGAATCAACAAACCCATTATGAGCGTCCACTGTTAATGATGTAGGCTGTTGAAGTCCGGAGTATATTACAGATGTCGTCCCAGAATTTATAGAAAATGCTCGAATTGTGGATTGCGTAGGTTCTATCCACGCAAGAAGATTAGCAATCCAGTCAAAAATAAGATCTGTTTGGTAATTTAAAAAAGTATAAAACAAAAGATTGAAGAATTCTTTATAAGATTCTAATTATAAAATTGCCTTAGATACGTGACCAAGATGCAACTGCTGCTAATCCATCCTAATATCTTAGAGATTTTCATTAATCTACCGCAACAAAACATCTTATGTCAAATATATATATATATATATATATATATATATATATATATATATATATATATATATATATATATATATATATATATATATATGATTAATGATATTTAATTCTCTCAATGTATTACTACTGCTGTCCAAAAAATAGATAAGGTGCAAGCTTGCATCCACAGCAAATGCCTCTATAATGGCAGAAGGTATCAGGTAGGGAATCCATCCTCGTCCTCCATTAACAAACTGTACTTCCACCATAGCAAAATGAGTTGCATTGCTTACAATGAAGCCCCTCTCGTGAAACCAGGAACGATCTAGTCAATATTTTATTGAAAATGTTACATGTATATATTAACAATTTTATAAATGAAATCAACAATTTTATACAATATTATTTTTAACAAGCTAATTCGGGGAATTTATATCCCCTGCTAAAAGAAAACAAGAGGCCCATGGGCCACATCGCTCATCTGAGCACATTGGCTAGGAAGAAGCAGAAATCAGTTCAGTATTGAACGGGGGGCAAACTTTAATTTACACTCAACAGGACTCTTCCATATCAATATTAGTAATCATGGCTTTGCAGTTCTTAAACAGAAGAATTTTTAAGATTTTTTCCCTATGTCTTCCTATGTAAAACTCTGATCTCTCATTTTGGCCCCGCCTTACCCACCCTAAATTTGAACAAATTTGAATCTACACTACCTGAGGATGCTTCTATAATGATATGACTGATCATGGCTTTGCTGTTCTTGAGCTGAAGATTTTTTCAAGATGATTCCCATATATTCTTATGCAAATCTTTGACCCTCTGTTGTGCCCCCAACCCTTGGGGTCATGATTTGAACAGACTTGATTCTCTAATACCTAAGGTTGCTTCTATATAAATATGACTATTAAAGGCTTTGTTGTTCTTGAGAAGATGATAAAGATATTTCCTATGTAATGTGTACAAGTATAATCAGGTTCTTACAAGGGATATATAGGTTTTCCTTTTTCTCTGTCTGAGTTAATGATCGGAATAATTATTAATAAAGCTCTGTCTGAGGGTGTATCACACAGTACTTAATTTTTCTCTTACCAAGAGACGGGAAGTGGGTAAAGTACTACTTGCACCGTGTTTCTCCCCTAGGTTCCCATTGATAGATAAGAATCGGGTGTCTCAATCTTCAGATTTACTACACCGAGAACTTAACATCAATTCCTTAGAATACTTGCCACTGGTGTTTATAACTTTTATACTTTTATTTTGCTCTTACCATTAAGGTTTTCAATCCCTAATAAGACCAAATTCTCCTTCCTTAAATGCTCATCACGTACATAATACTCAGATATAAATTCAAATTATTTTACAGTACAAAGGGATTTACCAAGAGAAAGTTTCAAAAATGTAATTAAATAAGCAGTAATTCATTAACAAAGATTGTATTGAAGTCTATGGGGACAAGGGATTTTTCAAAAACAAAATTTCGAATAATAAGAATGTCAATAAATACTGTGGTGGAAAGATGCACTAAACCATTAGATATAGAATGACAATTGAAAATGATTTTTTTACTAAGTTTTTTAAAAATGACTTTTTATTAACTAAAAATAGAGGGAGATATCTCTTACCAAAATTCAAGGTCATAGATTAGGACACATTCCACCGTTACATGATAAAAGTAATAAATGGGAATTATGTCTAAATATACTGAGTATTTAACACCTACACTTCTGTTATATATTCAATTTCATAGATTCTGTTGCTATCAGGGATGGAATACCTTAACATCTTTATTGCAGATTCAATATCCAACTTCTTCAGCTAGTTCTGAATGCCTGAATTTCCCAAAGATTTGCCTTATATACCTTTCGGTTTGGCTAGTTCATTCCAAGGGTTGTCAGGACATTCCACTATTTGAAGTCGTCAATGTGTTTTACTCAAATGCCCCTTAACCATTACACCTATATATTCCTATGTAAAACTTTGACCCACGGTCTTGGCCCCGGGGTCATGATTTGGACAATCTTGAATCTACATTTACATTACCTGATGATACTTCTGTATTAAGGTCTAATGACCCTCTGCTTTAAATTTAACAATTTTTTTTAAAACATCCAAACATTGATTTTCATCAAGAGCTATAGCATCAGCTTCAAATGGGAAACAGTATGAGGTATGAAGCGCTGCTTATTTTTCCAGAAATGATTTTTATGTCGGATCATGATATGAAGAAAGTTTAATACAGAGGATAGAAAGAGTAATGATTTAGTATCTCAACATAAAATTAAAAATCTGAGGTGTATATGAAAATACTATTTAGTATCATATCTATTAAATTCATATTAGAAAACATAATAAAGCGCTGCTTCTACATGTAAGTCAGAATATCACAATGCTGTATGTAGTTGTAAGAAAAGAATACATTTGTTAGCAAGAGTTATCTTTCTTATAAATATTTTTTCATTGGAATAAAATGTAATGCTAATAAAAATTCTAAATTTGGTACTTTAAACATTAAACTATTTTTAAAATGGTCCTTAAAAAGATAGAACTTATTCAATTTATAAGGCTTTATTACTGAATTTAATTTTGTTTTGTTAAATATAATAAAACAATAATGAAAAGTATAGGCAAAGGAAATAGAAGGTTATGTTTCCATCGTATGTCAGGTTTGATCGAATTGACTATTCCAAGGTCTCGATAATGAAAGTCTGATAATGAAACTATGAGAAGTACTCGTATTTTTTACTCGGAAAGTTATCTCTCTTATCAGAGGGTCAGTACCCCTTAATATGACTTAGCTGTCATGGCTTAGCTGTTCTTGAGAAGAAGATTTATAAAGATATTTCCTATATATTCCAATGGTATGTTGTGGCCCTTCCCTATTCCCAGGGGTCATGCTTGGAACAAACATTAATCTACACTACCCGTAGATACTTTTATTATAATATGACTAATCATGGCTTTGCTGTTCTTGAGAAGATTTTTAAAGATATTTCCTATATAATCCTATGTAAAACTTGTTGCCCCACCCTTTTCCCGGGGGTTATGATATGAACAAACTTAAATCTAGAGTATGTAATGAAGCTTTCACATAAGTTTCATGTTTTCTTGCCCATTGTTTCTTGAGAAGAAGACTTTTAAATATGCTACCAAATATTCAAGAATTCTTAATTATCTCCCCTTGAAAGAGGTCGCGGCGAGATGTGAGCTCAAAATCAATTTGGAGTCACTAAAAGACCATTAAGAATTGTAAATAAAATTTCATTGCAAAAGCTGAGAGACTTTTTACCAGACAATGAAAGCGTTATACACAAAGCATATGAATTTCTTACCTGACTTTTGACATTTAAGCTATTGGGCTCTTTTCAGGTCATAGAGAGTTCTGGTTTTGAGATATCGTTTGGAAACAAACGAGTTATACAGGGACATGACAGACAGACAGCCAGACGGGCGGACAGAAATAATCTTTGTAAAATTGCAGTATCCTTGAATTTTGAATAAAGTGGATGTATTTGAGTGCCCTCAGCAAATAAAAAAAATATGAGCAAACTTCTCAATCCAATAAATAAACATCTTGTAAACCTTGAGAAAAAGATCTTTCATTATATATAATATGCACATTTTCGAGCAGAAGTTGTCATCTTTACGAAAAAAAAAACAGCTTAAAATTTTCGCTACGTTTGAAAAAAAAAATTGAGGATATTGGAATACATGGTGTCACAATAGATGTTAACTAGGGAAAATATAACGTTGAATAGATATGCATTTACCAAGGGTTCTTGAGATATATCATTTACTGTCAATTCAAACTAAGCAAATGTATTTTTATAAGAAATTCATATCCAGTTAAAAGCCTTAAGTGAACCCTACTCTTTGACTCTCTTTTGCAGTAGCACCCTACCCCCTGGATATGAACAAACTTGATTCTACACTACCTGAGATTTGAATAATAATAATAATGGCCTGGTTTTCTTGATAAGAAAACTTTCAGGGCTTTGTTAAATATATTCCAATATAAAGCTCGATTCCATATTGTAGTTTTATCCTATCCACGAGTTCCACGATTTATTTAAACTTAATCTTCACTATGTCAATAAGCTTTCAAAGAAATATCAAGTTATTTTTACTTATTCATTGCCTCACTTTGGAAAAGTAATGGTTCATCGTTTAATTTAAGAAACTTCAATAAAAATGCCCTCTAAAAATGGACACTTTGCGGTAAACTTGGTTGAACCAAACCACCGGATTGTTTTGGAGGAAAGGGGGAGTTTCGATAAGGCCATTTTTCGGCCCCTCACGAAATTTTATGAAATTTTGAGATCTTGTAGAAAAACTTCTTATCTTCCTAAAAATATGAAAATAATTTATGTTGCAAATTTTCTGGTCACACGATAAAGAAGAATTTAAGTATACCCCCTTTCGTATATTTTTGGAGTAGACATTTTATAGGGGAAAGTGGATTTTTTTAACCGTCAAAATCGTAAATGAAATAGGATAAATATGAATAAAGACATAAATTAACAAATTTCAACATTTCTTTTAACGGAAAATGGTATTGATTTTATGCAAATGTTTTTAAGGTGCGATATTTATCTGGTGTGTTAAATGTTACTTTTCTTTAAAACAGAATGAATTTAACTAATAAAACGTAAACATATACAGAAAGTTTTAACATCATAATTAATCGACAGTTTATACATAAATTTCATAATCAATATTTAACATTTTCCCATACGAAAAAATGCAAATGAAAAAATATGTAGACATGAGCTAGGTAAACGTCAAAACGTCATAGACAGGTATATGCAATACATTTTCATCAATGAGATTATACAACTATATGTTTTATAAAAATACACCTTAATATCATAAAATTGAAATTAAAAAAATGTTTTGAAATATAAAAGAAAAATCGGCACGATTAAAAGAATAAATGCAACTTTATATATATACATAAAAAGTTTATTTAAAAGCATCATATTGCTACGTAAGCCGGTTCATGTACATTGTATGTGCAAGGTAAGAAAAATATAAATATTTTATCTGGCGGCCACCACATAATTATTCGGCGGCCGCTAGAAAAATATATCTGGCGACTGCCAAATATTTTTTCCTGTGGCCACCACATAAATACAACTGCCGGCGGCCAGAAACTTTTCTGGCGGCCGCCACATATATAACTAGAAGCCGCCAAATAAGTTTCTTGCAGTGTAGACATGTAATCTAATAAAGCATAAATTTTAAACTTTGAAGTGAAGACTTTATGAATTGAATTTTTGTATAAAGTGTAGATTTGATCTTTGCTAATAGTTCATGAAACTCCCAGATTTGACTAAAAACGAAGGTTGTAGATGTCATTAAAGCAAAAACACTACAATGTTATCTGGCGGCCGCCAGATATTTCAATGGCAGGCGCTAGAAACTTATCTGGCGGCCACCAGATATATTTTTTTACCTAGCACCTACCGGCTTCAGTATATTGCAATGTACTTGATTATATGAATAATATTAATTACAATCAAAATATTTTATCATGATACGTAATTATGTGAATAGCCAAATGATGGAAAAATCTTTAATACATTGAGTATTTCCTTTTTATTATGAAACGTAGAGGTATTTGCCCACATAGATCTGCATTATTTTTTCAGCATAACTGAGAGAATCCCAGCCAGGACTAATTTCCTATCGCTTCCCAATTCAGTTGCTTCACCAACTCTAGTCATTTCTCATTTAGGGAGTTTAAGAATTCATTATGTATAATTTTCTAGACTAGAGCGCAGTTCGAAATACATGTGTAAACGCCAAAGATATGTGTTTAATCCTTAATCAGGCAGTAATATGCGCCTAGACATCCAGACTTAATTAAAACAAATCCATGCTCCCTATGTCAACCACACGGAACTATAAGGGCGCTTCTCTAGCATTTTGGAGCATGGATTTCTATTTACAAGAAAGTCAAAAAATAATTTAATATAACTACTCGTATGCATGATAAATAACGTTAAGGAGTGAATTTGCTCTTAAACTTACTTTTTGTTCAGTCAGTCGGAAAATGTAAGAAAGATCAAGCATCTGAACCATGTCTGGTAGTGTGCAATCCTAGATGCATCATCAGTGCAAGTTTGGTCACGATAGGGCTTACAGTTACATAAGAATGAGACACGCTTCAAAATCTTTAACCTGCTCACTCATTAAGGAAATGTAGGTCAGATCCAGCATCTGAAGCAAGTCTGGTAGTGTGCATCCGTAGATGCATCATGAAGCAAGTCTGGTCAACAAGTGATTACAGCTGATCTGCTCCAAAAATTTAAATCTGCTTTTAAAACATTTACCTGGACATTCTTTGGCTAAAAATGCAGCATCTGAAACCTGACTGGTGACAAGGAAACACGCTAGATCATGTGACTCTTGTAGTTAATGTAGGGCATAAATATACTTGAAAAAAAAAATCTGCTTCAAAAACTTTTACCTGGAACACCGATGCCGACGGTATTACAAAAGCTCCCCTAAATTCGTGGAGGTGATCTAAAAATGTGACTTTAACGTTATACGTTGGCGACAAAAGTATCGAAATGAAGATAGGATGTGATAATGTTTTCTACTGTTAATATAATCGAGAATCTTCTTTGATTTAAAAATATATGCTACTTTTGGCTTAGTATTTTAACACAGAGTCAGATCAAGAAACCAGGAGCTTCTAATTTTAGATATGCAAATTTTATGCAATTTTCAATTTTTGGATATGAAGTGCACATGCGACACTCATCATATTTCAAGAAATTAGTGCGCAGAGTATATCAAATTACTGAACAAATTTGGGTGAGTGTCCCTCATGCACTTCATATTCTAAACATTGATTTATAAATGCCACCCTCTTATATTTTCCCATAAGCCTAATGTTAACGGATCTGAGGGTACATCTTAGTATGTATCAGCTTCGGTGTGAATTCATCTCATATTAACTTTTGAAATATAAATAACAAAAGTTAACATATTTATCTTGAATTCTAAACTAGTTTCGAAAAAATAAATTGAAGTTTATTTTCATGAAAAAAAGTGGGCCGTTGAGCGGCCTTATCAAAACTCCCCCTTTGAAAATGGGAAGGCTTACAGACCCCAGAGAATGACAAATAGATGGTCGCAACACTTATTTTGATCAGAAAAGCTCATTTAACTCTAAGCTCGTAAAATAAAAATTGTATTTTAGAAGATCAAGTATACAGCCATGTTTACGTACCTTTGCAGGACCGACCGTCTGATGATAGTAGGTAACCCTCAGCACAGAGACATTTAGCTCCTACTGGAGTGTTTACACAGATATGCTGACAACCTCGAGAAGAACAAGAACCTAAATATGGTAAAAAAAAATATGCATTTAGTATAATGGCAAACGAAGAAATAAATTCATTATATGAACAAAATAATCTCTAGCACAATAGACAAGTAACATATCTGTGTGTATTTTTTTCCCTTTTTTCTTGTTTCTTTCTTTCTTTCTTTTTTTTTTTATCTTTTTTTTAGGAAACAGGGATAATGAAAATTGAACGCACTTTTAAATTGATATAAAAATGTTCGATTGTACCGGTACTTGCTAATCGATAAAACAAAGAAACTTATACAATGTATAACTCTTGAAATGCGGTGGACATATATGTTAAAGTCTACAGTTGAAGATGATATCGTTTGATAAACAATTTAAATAACATAATGGAATAATTTTCAAGAAAAGTAAAACAAAGGAAAAGTCAGAGAAATTTCTTTATGTTCAGGACAACCTCATGAAGGGCAGTTTTTCACACTCAGAATTAAACTTTAAATATAATAGTTTAATACTTTTCACCAAATTGAATGCTTTGTGCCCGTTACATTTGTAAATTAAAACTTAAAACTGTACCCGTGTATGATCTTGCTGTATTTGCGTCATAAACGTGAATGGCATACGGTTGATCCGACAATCGTAGGTTGTATAGTTGTGATCCTGATGCTGTATCTACCCCAAATATTAATCTAGCCTCGGCACTAGAAGCATGCAGCATATTCTGAACAAAAATAAAATTTTCTTAAACAAACCATGGTACATTTACGTTGTATGTTCTACAATCTATGCTCTTTCATTATTCTTTTAAATATGAGTGACATAACCAAAATCACATAAGCCTTAAAAATTTTTTGAGCGCGCTTTCTACGTTGATATCTTTGTGTTTGAAACTCCTTTTGAAACAACTTTGCCTTTTCTTTTTGTTTAGTTCACTGTATCACATTTATAATTTATAATTAATAATAAGGCTGCAAAACGCAAGAAGAACATCTTTAGAGATAAATTACAGTACAGTGTACTTGTTTTAAGTAAATTGAAGCAGATCTAAGGCATTAAGTACAAATATGAACCCCAAAGATTTTTTTCTTATCTTTAACATAATTGATATTCAAAGCAATTCGTAACTTTATCCATGAAGTACCTGATAGTAGTGTAAACCTGTTGCAGGAACGTTGTTGCTACGACGCACACCTCTTCTATTTAGACCGTCATAGTCGCTGACCTCAATAGTGTGCCTGCCATAGTCTGCCCAATACAGTAAATCACTGACTACATCAATAGAAAGGACTAATACTCGGATTAAACCGGTGTGAACTATTGTAGTTCTATTCTCCCCATCCATTGATGCCTTTTCAATACGTGGATGCGGTTCATTGTCCGTAAAGAACATTAAGCTGTTTAAATATATTGATTTGAAAAGGATATGCAATATTACTCAATATACATTAAAGGTACAAATGCTGAAAACAAGAAGATATTTACATTCAAAAGAACAGAAGCATTAAAAAAAACAGAGAAAGATGGGCATACATTCACTAATTCAATACATATTGCAAGAATCCACTCATAATTTGCAAAGTTTTTCGATATGAATTTATTATACAGTGTACACGTAAGCCAAGGGCAAAAGCTTCATTTCATATTTTTTCTACATCAGTTTGGATCCACATCATTTAAACACGGATTTTATTAAGTTTCATATGCATCTTCTAAAAAGAATAGTTAAATCTGAGATTTGAATCCTCTGACTTCAAATATTTCTAGATTTTAATTTACTTCTAAAAAATATTTTGCTATATCATTTTTGTATAAAATAGATATATATTTTTAAAAGTTCTATACTGCAGTATATTTTACCCATTTTCAGGATCAAGTGTCAATCCCTCCGGTTGGTACAAATCCTTATAGACAAAAACTTTATATATCGTATCATTGTCACTGTATGCTGGTTTCACTGCGATCCATTTGAGAAGAGAATCGCACCAATATATATTGTTGGAAGTGTAGTCAAATGCAATTTGACCAAAGGCTGAAGATTTTCCTTTGTAAGCTAAAGAGAGGGAAATTGATTCATTCTGCCAAATAGTAAAGTTTTGAAATTTGTAAATAGAGTCTTTTATTGCAGCAAAAATCACCTTTTTCTGAGGATCAGACGCAATGCTATAAATTTTAACATCTGAAGGGGTGAGAGATTTGGAAATGTTGCCAAAATAATCAGCATCTCTCCTGGGTATTTCAGTAATGGTTGCTAATGCAGCAGGACTCCACATTCCAAGAATTAAGCCTTTGTCCTCAGCAGTACCTAAAACATGTACGTATTTCAATGCATTATCTCTCTTAAAAATGCTCAGTTTTCAGGAAAATTTGAGAAAAAGTACTTTCAGCATTTGTCTATAAAAAAGTACATGTAAGATGTGACCGATTTACAATAGAATAGGAAATTGAAAAAAAAAATAATAAAAATTTCTTTTTTTATTCCTTTCATGACATATAAAGAATAAACAACGAAGGGTCTTTGAAAAATGAGACAAATTCTTTTTTTTCTAGACAAAAGGAAAAGGAACAAACCTGACTGGACGATAATTTAACGATATCCCATCACCTGTTTTGTAGTCTTAAATAATATTTTTTTCAATTTTTGATTTAACTACAAATCCTTTCTAGGACTAAAATATATCCTTTTTTAGTAATATTTAAATCAAAATTATCAAAGTATCCTCTAGATTTTCGAATTTATATTTAATGGGATGTAGAAAACATGGTACATGACAAAATTGACTACGTCATAAATGTAGTTCCTTCTAATATAGATAATAATATATTATTAAAATCACAAGTAGTTGTGTAATTTTTTGTAAGTTATTGTGCTTTATCACCTAATGAGAAAATTTTTCAGTTTAACATTCATATCATTATTTACACATTTACATTAATTTTATTTATTGATTCACTCCTCTTTTTCCCCTACATTGCACTCTAAAAAGTCAGCGACGGCATCCATAATCTGTTGGTGCAGCACGTTGATTAAACAGTCAACGTTTATATTTATTATTTCTTGACACATGTGACTATTAGCCATTTTTGAGGTATTAGGTGGAACTGGAAATGCAATCATAATTTTTGCTTGGATATTAGCAGAAATTTTTATATTTATATCTTTCATATCTTGCAAAGGCTTTTGTTTGACGTCAGTTGTTTTTGTTTTCCGTATTAGAAAAATGTAAACATACAGCATTTTTTATCACACTTCGCCTTTCGTTATTTCTCAGTTTATTATAAAAATGAGGGACGTCCATTCAGTTGTAAATAAATACAGTATTTATTGACAGAATTTTTCGCATTTTTTTATTGTAAAAATGTCTTGAAAAAGTGCTTTTTTTATCCAATCCATATGCAGAGTGGAATAAAAAAACAAATGCTTAAGAATGTTAAACTCAAATCACATTGTAAAATTTCAAATTGTAAAATATTTAAAGATATACATATTCTAATACATATCTTTTTATTCATGCTAAAAATTCATGTTTTAAAATCAGTAATGGGCCCATAAACATCATGAATCAAAACTTTATACAGACACCGTAAGGAGCGATATTTGTACGGCAATGTCTCTTAAATAAGTCAAGAAATCTGTCGAAACAACTGCCTTAAAATATGAGGGAGACGCATTCTAATTTAGTAATATACAAGTTAGAAAAAATCATTGACAGGGTTTTTTCAGTTCAAGGTCCCGCTCCTCCTAAAATTTTAAGTTTTATCACATTTACTCTCCCAAATCGGCAAATTATTAATGATAGAATATTATTTGTACTTTTTAAAATGTAAAAAAGGAACACTTTTAAAAAACATTTTGAATGTGTTAAATTTCAAGAACAAATATCTAAATTCAAATGTTCCAAATGACACTGGATGATGATGATTTACCTCCGTCTATAAAAAATAAGGAATTACCTTTTTATATTTTGGATAAAATTATTTAAAAAAAAAAATTTTTTTTTAGATGTTTTATAAATTTAAAAAAAAAACTACAGAAGATTTCATTTAACACGATATGCTGCTGTCTCCCTTCAATGAGCTAGAAAACGACATTTTTTCAATACTTTAAATAAGTTTAATTTGTTTTCAAATTTAATATTTATATACTTGGTTTATTTTATCTCCAAAAACGTCTTGATTGACTGGGCATTATCATTTCTTCCCTTCAATTGACAGAAAATATTATTGTTTTAATATCAGTGTTTTAGTATCAATGCTTTTAAAAACGTTTCATAATTATATCTAACTTCAACAACCTAAAAATATTTTAAGATTATTTTGAAATTGTTGAATTTCAACATTTTCCAAAACTTTTATTTTAAAATTTCTTTCTTTAGCTTCTTAGAGTTTTATCTTAAAATCCAAAATGTCATATTAAAACTTTAATTCCTCTTTTGAATTTTCTTTAATTTCACCTTCATGACCTTTGAAATGAAAATTTATATAATTTCAACTAATTAATGCACATAAATGTTACCATTCCAGACATCATTATCATTGAAAATTAAGAAAATTAAATATTTATAATGTTTACTACATATCGATGATAGTTGATAATTAACATTTTTATTTTTTATTGAAATTAATTTTTTTAACCTACAACATATTTTATCTTCAAAATCTTCCAAAGTTCATGAATATACCTTTAATACCGTTCAAATTAAAAGAAAGGAACTAATATCCACATCTAAGAAATTTAAGTTTTCAAAAAACCATGAATATTTATTGATACATGTACAAGAGGCCCAAGGGTCTTAATTGTCACATGAGTATAACACAACAATTTAGAGGATCCATAGACTCTGAGTATAAAATAAACTGATAGATGAAGCTTTGCTGCCCAAAAGCAAGAGAAATAGGATGATCAGGATCAGTGAAATAATTAGTATTCTGTAATAACTCAAACATTAAATTCTAATCTATCCCCCATTTAACACTATCACCATGCAGACTATTAACAGACTATTAGTTCTTCTGTACTACTTTTAACCCCATATTGTGATCTCTCAAATCGGCCTCTCTTGGTTTTTGAAGAACATTTAATAATTTATTTTTGTCTCATTTTTATTTATTTATTATATACAAGTCTACCTGATCATTAAAACTATGAAAATACTTTTTGTATTATACAATAAAATTTTCTGTATTATTCTTTTATTCTAATAACTTTCAAATACATTATTTACAGTGATTAAGAATCAAAAGTGAATGGCAAAAGGAAATAACTTCTCTCAGTTGAATACAAATTAATGGAGCCCTGGCCAGGACCAGAGCACTTGATGTTCAAAAATCTGGTGAAATATCCTTGTTTATTAAAACTTTTATTAAATTTGCCTTCAATATGCCAAGGAGCAGAGAAGATTTTCAAAGAAAAAATGCATTTTCATTATAGATTCGGCACAGCCCTACCCTAACACAAAAACCCATGTCCCAGGGTCATGAAATTCACAAATTTGGTAGAGGTACCCTCATTATAATAACTATGCACTTAGTTGAAGATTCTCAAAGAATTAACGTAATATCAATATAGACCCCCCCCCCCCCCAGCCCCGAAAAACAGAATTAATGCATTTTCACTATATTATTAATAGAGCCCTACCTTTACACCAGAACATCTGTATTAGGGGCCATGAAACTCAAAATTCTGGAAGAAGCACTCTTGTTCAACATAACTACACACTTAGTTTCTTTGCTTTATAACTAGGAGCAGAAAAGAATATTTTTCTAAGAAATTATGCTTTTCACTAATCAATAGAGCCCCCCCCCCCCCCATCATAACAATGCACTTAGTTTTGTTTAAATAATACCCAGGAGAAGAGAAGAAGATTTTCAAAGAATTAATGCATTTTCACTATATAATCAATAGAGCCCCGTCATAACACCAGAACCCCTGACCAAGGGGCCATGAAATTCACAATTTTAAGAAAGTCATCATTGCTTATCATAACCATGCACTTAATTTGTTAAAATAATACCCAGGAGAAGAGAAGGAGATTTTCAAAGAAATAATGCACTTTAATTCACCACATGATCTATATAACCCCACCCTAGCACCAGAACCCCTGACCCTGAGGCCATAAATTTCCTATTTCAATTTTGGTAGAGGGCCCAATGCTTATTACAATCATGGCAACAGTTTGACTGCTTGATGTCCAGGAGTAAAGAGATTGCATCAATTTTGGTGGTTTTAGTCCCACCCCTAGGGCCCCAGGGGGCAGGGATCATGAAATTCACAATGTTTGTTTCTCTTCACTTAAAGATGCTATGTGACAAAATTGGTTGAAATTTGTTTAGCGGTTCTTGAGAAGAAGTTGAAAATGTTCAAAGTTAATGCACGACGGACGACGCAAGACGACGGACAAAAACGGATAGCAATAGATCACCTGAGTGTCTCAGGTGACCTAAAAAGTAACTATATTTCATCTCCATGACCGTTTAAATGCCATTCTAAACATTATTTCTAAAGAAAACTGAAATTTAATTAGAAATTGTAAAGGAGAAAGCATAGTAAAAACCGATGATATAAAAATCAAAACACAAATAAAACTGTGATGGTTTCCATAAATGGATGACTCAGGATTGTGACAAAGTGGAACAGTTCACCGCATTTTCTCATTCAACAACATCCTCCCCCCCTTCCTTCAAATTCAAATCTCTACCTTAAGTCATTGATTTTGAAGGAGTAAGGCCAAGGGACAGTTTCTTTTATCAATGTACATGTACATGTAATATATGGATCGATAATACAATATGAACGTACTTTCACATACTTTATCAATTGTTTTCTTAAATAAAGATTTAATTATAAACAATAAAACGACTTCGTTTATGGGTTTGCCATCCATACATTTTTTACATAACCCACTCTTGCAGTTTATGACCCCCCTCCCTGCAATTTTGCAACCGTATATCCAACGAAACAATTATATTCTTTAAAATTTTAGAAAATGTTTATTCTTTACATGTATTTGTTTATATGATGGTGATGACTCCAATCATAGCTCTACAACTATCACTGATATCTGATATGTAGCACAAGTAATCCCCAGATAGATCATCTAGAATCGCAACACTGGAAAACCATGAATAATATAAATGTTTGGGGATGGTATTAAAATATTGCCTCCTCCATGGCTATATTTATACTACACGTCAACATTAACATACGTTTTTTTCTGTCTGTATTGCGCACTTCTTAAGTGTTTATGTTGAATCAAACTTATTAAAAGGCCTTTGTAAATCCCAAGCAATTGGAAA